GGTAAACACCATGAACCTTCAAGTACTACTTACACTTTCTGATTTGAACACTAGCATCTGACTTAGGCATTGCGGGTGGAACATCAGGATTTTTAAGCACAAAGGTCTTTAGGCCCTCCCAGGCTAGGACCAAGGTATCAGGTAACCGTGCATCCAAGAGGATACCAGTTATCATAATCACTGGTACTCTCTCCGACGGGTTTTACTTCACTGGCCAAACCTGGATTACACAGGCATGATGGCATGATACCGCCAGTACCAACACAGGCCTAATGGCCAAGGTGGACCGAACTGCGGTTTGACCACTCTTCATCCAGAATTGTCTCAGGCAAGTAAGCCAGGGACGAGCCCAGATGGCTAAGCACATAAAGCCTACTGCTAGGCTAATTGAGCCTAACATACGAGGCTTGTAGTTCTCCGACATAGGAGTTGCTCTGGCTGGATAGACCCGGGTAAGTTCAGGTCGTACTTTCCTACGCTTAGCCCGAAGCAAAAGAAACAAGCAGCGTACGTTCTTTTAGTAAAGAGGTGCTCGAACTGGGTTCTAGTCCGGGAAGCCGTAGCCCCCCCGCTTGTCGGGTGAAAACGATGATGCTACGCGGTGAAACCTATGCCGTGCAGTGCGAGCAGGGCTCTGCGAGCGCTACAGAAAAGAAACGCTTGCGAGCAGTGCTGTGCGAGCTGCAAGAACCAGGGCGTGGCGGGTGGGTGTTTCAAAGAAACCTCATGCTGAGAACCGGGCAAGCTACGGAAAGTACATGCGTAGGAAGCAAGCGTATGACAAGCTACACCAAAACATGCATGAAAAATAAAACATGCTACGTTCAGGTCGTACTTTCCTACGCTTAGCCCGAAGCAAAAGAAACAAGCAGCGTACGTTCTTTTAGTCAAGAGGTGCTCGAACTGGGTTCTAGTCCGGGAAGCCGTAGCCCCCACTTCAGGTTCGAGCACCTCTGTGTATCGCTGTACATGCCTGCCCTTCCGCGTCAGAGGTGCGTGTACCTGGCAGCAGGCATTTACTGTCTTGCCATGTAAAGCAAGTGCGCCGACCAAAAAAGCAGCCTGCAATGCAGAGGAGTCTTTTTCTAGCGGCTTGCGACCGGGCCCTGAGCTTCTGCGAGCTTGTCATGCCAGGCGGCAATCTGTGGATGCAGAGTTATGTTGCCTTGCGGGCTGGAGAGGCATGCGAGGGAGATGCGCTCCCTGCCGCCAAGTCTGTTCCTGAAACGCTGCAGCTTGTTGCGGCTGAGCTCGTCGGCCCATTGATTTTTTCTCTCCTGCGAGGTGTGTCACTGCCAGCTCAACGTTGTGTCGCGCGGACCAGGCAGCGACTTGCTTCAGGAAGAGCGACAGCGGCTCTGTCGTAGTGAACAATTTATTGATGCCTGCTTCCGCTGCTGTGTTGTCCGATGCCGAGGGCAGGACAAACTTGAAGTGCTTTGACTGGAGTCTTCTGAAGGCTAGCATGGCTAAGGCAAGCTGTGCGAGCGTTTCAAAGCATGCGATATATGCTTGAGCGTGCTTGTTCAAAGCGGGCCAGTGCTTGCGGACTTCGGTCATTGACCACGTTTCTGAAAACCACAAAAACTGCTTGGCCGTGCTGATCCATCCGCCAATGCCAACTGTTTCTCCTTCGGCCATTGCGTCTGCAGCTGCCATGCAGTGCAGCACTGGAGACTGGCGCATTGCGCGCAGCTGATCGTGCGTGAAGCATGAGAGCAACCAGCGCAGGGCTTGCCTGCTTTCATTGCGAAGATGCACCTCTGTGCGGGCAGGGTCAGAGAGCCTGACCCACTGCGGCTTGTGCGAAGGTGGGACCCTGGGCACGTCTTGCTTGCATGTGACTGTGATTGAGCCGACCTCTAGCAGCTTGGAGTTTGCTGAGAGCCATGCCAGGAGGTGGTGCTGTGACGACTGCAGTGGGCGACAGACTGTCCCGAAACCTGTGCCAGTCCCGGGCATGGATCTGTTTCAAGGTGCCTTTGCTGCTGCGCAAGTCCTTGTAAAGAGGTGCTAAATAAGGCCTGAGATGCTGACAAGTGCTGGTGGCCCACATTAGGAGGCCTAGCGAGCTTTCAAGGAACTTGCGAAGGATCTTCTTGGAGCTGGCAAGCTTGTTGAGCTGTTCTCTGAGCTTGGCTAGCTTTGCTTGCACCAAGTGCAGGCACTCCAGGTCCAGGTGAAAAGTCCAGCCGCACCAAGTGATGGCATCCCCTAGCTGGGCCTTCTTCCAGCTGATGGGAGCATGCAGCGCAGACAGAAGGCACGTGATGAGGATAACTTGATCCTCCCAGCTACTGCGTGCTAGCATGGCCAGCAAATCGTCAACATAGAGCCATGCTTTGTGGCTGTGCATGCTGAGCAGTGCGTGCAGAATGCGGGTGATTTGAGACCCTACTCGCTGCCACCAATAGGCGCTGAATTTGGCACCGAAGTGACAAACCACATAGTGGTATAGCCGCTGTTGCACTGCGAAGAGCAAGCATCCGTGCTCCTGTGCTGAGACTTTGACTGATTTGTGCGCGGCTTTAAATTCAAGCGACAGGCCGATGAAGGACCCAAATGCGTCGCTGTGCTGAAATGTGCGCTGTACATCTAATGCCGAAGGCAGGCTAACCCTCTCGGGAACACGGCAGAGCGTATTGGCGTGACAGATAGTGCTGTCAAGCACCAAACGTGGGTCTTTGCCGTCGGCAGTGACTATGTTGAGCTTGCCTATGGCCGTGCCTTGCGGCCAATGCGCGGCTGCCGCAGCAGCGTCCCCTTCGAAGGGGGCAACCCAGCCTGCCTGAATTTCCTTGTCCAAGAGCTCTGCAAGCAGGCGTGGGTTGTTCTCGGCTTGCGTCCAATTGCCTTGACAGTGCAGAAGGTGTATGCCATCAAGGTCATCTTCTGCAAGTGATGCATCGCGTTGTTGCCACTGCATGCTTGAAGGGATGTCTTGAAGGATGCCTGCTGGCACGCCTCGTTCCAAAAAGGATGCCAGAGTCGTATCTGGGTCTTTGGTTCTGGCGGAGAAGGCCTGCAGTAGCTTCAACCGGAAAGGCTGCCCCGGAGAAATTTGGAGACATGCAGGGTCCTTGCAACTAGGGCGCAAGCAGGTATGTGCAATGTGCGCAACATCGAGCTGTTGCTGTTCCGTAAGAGGGTGGCAGTCCTGGCTTTGTGCAAGGTGTGCGATGATGTGTTGTTTGAGCGACTGCGATTCTGCGTACTGAAGCCAGTGTGTGGCAACGTCGTGAAGGCAGCTGCGAGGCTGGCCGTTGGAGTGGTCTGCTGAGCTGTTGAGGCCTGTGCCGTCGCAGACTGGCGGTCTGCGATGAATGACTGGTTCTGGCAACAGGTTGGCAAAGTCGCAAATGTGGTACCGTTTCAAACCCGAGCTGGAACAAAAAAGGGCCATGAGCTGTGCGAGCTGGGCTGCCAGGCTGGCGGGATATTCTGCAGTCAGGGAGCTGACGTACGTGTTGCCGTGCTTGAGGCCGGCAATAGTTTTGCGCACACCCGGGGGACGCGTGCAGGTGCATGCCAAACTGGCTATGGGCGGGAAAGAGGCGCACATGGCCCACGACTTGTAGAAGTCCACGCCGTGCGCGCATGCAGCCACGCGCGCGCAGCGCGCTGCGATTTCCCGAAGGTATGTCACGTTGTCATGCTGGTGCCAAGCCATTGACGAAGGAGGCTGTTCCATTCCTGTCTGGCTGCCTGCTTCCTTGGCTGTGCGAAGCACTTGCCTGGACCTGCAATGTATTTCTGAGCTGGCGTCCACACTTGCTTGCTCTGCAGGCGTGTTGGTAGGTAGTCCATCCATAAATGCAGGCGTGCGAATTGCTTTGGGCCCGGGCTGGCGAAGCTTGAGGATGCTAAACTCCTTGCAGGGCGGCGCTGACCAGAGGGCTCCCAAAATGCCACTGGCTGCTACGCGCAGTGCGAGCCTGAAATGAGAGTCGTTCAAAATATCGAAGGGTGGATCTGATTCGATGTCGAAAGGCTGAAGGCAGTCGACGTGCATGTCCTCCATGGCTGATGTGAGAGGCGCGTGCTTGCCTGCGAAGAGATCAAGGAAGAGTTTAGGTGCACCTGGCGATTTGGCACGCGGCGTGCTAGAGCTACCGCTTGCAGAAGAGCTGTCGTCTGATGATGACGAGTGTTCACGAGTGTGTTTGGCAGGGAGGACGTTAGCTTCTGCTAGAGGCTGGGCATGCTTGCGTGGCGAAGTTGCCGGGTTTAGGGAATTTGGGGCAACAGGTCGAGAGAGCAGGGGCAGCGCGGAGCGTGCGGGTTTAGGGATGCAGTGTCAACACGGGTTAGGGTTGGGGGTTCAATCAGTTCGCGCGGGGGCGCGGATGCAATGCTGGCAGTGCTGGCTGTCTGAGTGACTGAGGCAATGTCCTGGGCTGCGCGACCGTGCGGAGGCGACGGTTCTACCAAACACGGGTTAGGGCCCGAATTGGGGAGACACGGGTTAGGGAGATGCTGCTTCAATTGGCGCGCGGGCGTAACCGGCTGGCTTGCTGGAGGAACGTCGGCAGGCAGAGGACGCGAGATGCCAGCAGACTCCAAAGGACGCCTCTCGCTCGCCTCCTCTGGAGTGTGTCAGGCGCTAGGTGGGGGCGTGCCTGCCTCTGCTTTGTCAGGCTGTGCTTTGAAGCGGTGCTGCGAAGCGGGATGTCGTTGCCCGCAGGCCTGACCGTTCGGGAGCTTGATGGCGCAGAGGTGTGCGAACTTGCAATTTTGATCAGAGCAAGCTGCGCGGTTGTATCTAAGACAAAGTGTCTTATTGCCATGCTTAAGTTGCAGGTTTCGCATGGCTTCCGTGACTGCGCCGAGTTGCGAGTCTTGCTTGAGGCGTGTCTGAACTTTGCCTTTCTTTCCCCCTCCTTTGCCATTGCTTTTGCCCCCTTTGCCTTTGTTGGTTGGCGGGCGTGCACGCGGCTGCAAGAGGGCATGCATGTCTGCTCGGATGGCAGTCATCTCATGCAGTGCTTCGTCGAGACTCCAACCTTCGGAGTGCAAGCTGGATATCTCGTTCCACAACTTCCTGTCTGCACGCAACAACTCATGAGTATTGACGGCGCGGAGCCCTGACTCAGCTGAGAGCTGTTGCGTGCATATGTCCAAGACCTTTTTGTCGAACGCCTTGAGGGTAGCGAGGTGAGCCCCTCCACATAGTGCAACGGCGTTGCGAAACACTTGCTGTGTGCGCGCGAGCCATGCGGGGCTTAGATGCGCGCGGTCGATGTTAAGCTCAGGGGTCTCATCGAAGAGGGCTGCGCTCACCAATTGCGCCTCGGTGCGGAGCGTGCGTGCGGTGCGTGCCGCAATTATGTCCTGGTACTGCTTGTGTGACACGCGAAGTTGCCAGGGAATCCACTTTATGGCTCCTTTGGGGGTGAACCATTGGTGCACCAAACTGAGCAAGCGGATGCTTGGCGTGCTGTCACTATCCAGGTGTTCCCCCGGATAGTTTGCCTTAAAGCTTGCCTGCAGGCGTTGCACTGCCTCAGTGTCAAGCCGAGGCGGGGCGTGCTCTGCCCAAACGTTTGTTGCGATGGCAGTGCTGTTGCTGGGTGCAGGTGCTGTGCTAGGCGGGCACGCATCCTGCGCGCGGGTAATGCTTTGACTCATGTCGAGGGCCCTGCGAAGACGTGCCACGGCCGGGCAGTGCTCGGGGTCTGAAACCTGCAGTTGCTCCCAAAGGCTGGGGCTTTGCTTGCTTATGAAATCCGACAGGTCTGTCTGGTCAAGGTAGGCGTATGCGAAGTCGGAGATGCTGGACAAGCCTGTGTCTTTAAGAGCCTTTTGCAAAGGGTCTGGCACTTGAACGCGGGCCAGCAAAGGTCAAGCCTTCTACAGATTCAACGTCCCAAGGATCCATGTTAAATGCCACAGAAGGTCGTATAGCACTGCTAGGGTCACTTGGGAGGAAAAAAGCTACAAGCGTGCATGCTGCAGACCGAGCTCAGAAGAGACAGTGCGCACAACGTAGGCTGCAGCGCAGATGCAACAGTGGGCACTCGAGGAAGAGCTCGGAGAGAAATCACCTGAGCATGCAGGGCATGGAAGAAAGCAAGGTGCATGCAACAAAGACATGTCAAAAGAAAAAGGCACGGAGTTTTTATGTGCCTTGGTTGCGAGCAAGGATGCACGCTTTGCGTCTACAAAGTGAAACTGGTTCTTTGCAAACAGCCACGAAGGCAGCAGCACCGAGTCGTGCTCCACAACTAGCCTTGAGCTTGCACACTGCGAGCGAACCCAAATTTGGAAGCGCAAGGAGGTATGCTTGCAGGGAGTCAGGCGTGGGGACATGCATGCTTCCCCAGGGACCACTGCAGACATACGCAGACGCGTGTCCTCTTGCGATGCTTGATCTTGCTCCTCTGCATCGCTGTCCGTGTCTGGGGCTGTTTGGGCGAAGCGTTCTACCTCTTCTGGCTCCGAGTCTGACCCCGTGACCACCAGAGGTGACTCCGACTGCACTGGCTCTGACTCGGGCTGCGACTGGGAGAGGCCTGCACGCAATGCTTCATGTCTGGAGGTAAAGATGCGCCAAGGGCCTTGCATAAGTGCCGATGCCGGCAGTTCGACAGGAGGAACTTGCGAGGAGACTGCGAGGGGGGTTCTGGGACTGGCGGGCCATAGAGCGTTGTGGTCGCCAGCCCTGGGCCACCTGAGAGCCTATGTGGCGTTGCACGAAGAGGCTTGTGAAGGTGTCGTTGCGGCTATACAGCTTTGCGCTGTCACGGTGGTGGCCCTGAGAGAGCCGGTCCTCCTTTGGAAGATGCAGCTGCGCTGCGAGCGCGAGAGCGGTGGACTTCATGCTATGCAAAGTCAGTGCGCTGGCCTCGGTGGCGCTAAGGCGTGCGTGTTGTGAAAGCCTTTTGTCTTGCGCAGCCCAACGCAGGCACAAGAGCGTGCGCTAAGCTGAAGTGAGCCCCGTTTGACGCGCTGTGCGTCGCCAAAGCGAATGCTGGCACGCGTGCAGAGCAAGGCCGCACCCAAAACAAGTTTTGTAGTGAGAGGCGTGTCTGGCGTGCAGAGCAAGAGCTCCCACATGACGAGCAGTGCCAGTGGTAGCGGCACCGCCTCCTTCTTATCATAGGAGTCTATTTGTTTGGAGTATGCGGTGACCAATGCATTATGCATGCATGCCGAGAGAGCATGCCACTGAATGTGCTTGGCCATCCAGCGCAGGGCTTTGATAGCGGTGTTGGATGACGACCTATGCACTGCCCTATCTTGTTGCTTGCTGGCAGCGGATGCGTGCAAAAAATCCACCATGACTGCAACTGGTACTGTTGCGAAGCTGAGGTGCTGCGCATGCATGAAGTCGATAAACGTGAGGCAGCATGCAAGGTATCGATAAAGGGTGTTAACTGCAAAGGAGGCAAGAAGCTGCTGAACATGCGCTGCAGGGTGCTTGCTGGCTGCTAGAATGTCGTGCAATTCACAGTGCGTCCCTACTCGATGCACTATGTCTCCAAACTGGTCGTGTGACTTCTGCCTGCGTGACTGTGCCAAGGAGGCTGCCGTGACCATGTAGGGTGCTCTGGCCTGGGGAACGCAAAGGCTTTTGGGCACTGGTGCAAGAGAAGGTGGCTGGGCAGCAAAAGAGCAATCCAGGGGCACCTTTGGGGGGCAAGCTTTCAGCGAGGATGTTGAAAGGCTTTTGCGGGGCCACCTAAGGTCAGGGCAGGGCTTGCCTCCTACGTGATGACTTGCAGTGGAGATGGACGGCTTCTTGCTAAAAACGGGCGGCGGCTTAGGCGTGCCTGCGGCAGAGTCTGTGGCCGAGCACATGAGCCGAGGATGAAACGGACTCCGATGCCGCGGCACTCTTTCTGTACCTCTTGACCACACCTGGCACTTCCTGGTCTAGGGCAGGCTTGCGAACGCTGGCAATGACGCTGTAAATGTCTAGCGCTTGCAGATCTGCCGTGGCGATGTGTTGTTGCATGTCAGTGTCCTGATCTCGTGCTGGTGCTGGGATCTGAGGAGGTGGCTCTTCCTTGGACATCCGCCACTGCCGGCAGCTGAAGCACAAACCAGCGCAAATCGGCGTGGCGGTAGAAGTCACTAGCCTGGAACGAGACTCGAGAGCCAACTTCCAAAAAGCCCCAGATATTGCACAGGATGCGGGGATCACTGAGCAGGGCCTCAACGTTGCGTGGTCTCCCTTGAGCCATGTTAAAGCTACCAAGGTGAAGTGTGAAGCTGCAGGGCAAGGGGCGGCAACACAAAAGGCGCAAAGTGCACGGCACTGGCTGAGATTGACGCCGAAAAGCTGTTCGAAGTGCACCTGGGACAAAGGCAGGTTACATAAAGTGCAAGGTCAAGCATCAAAGGTGCAAAGCAGTGCGGAGACTAGGGGCGATTTTTTGCAATGCAGTGCGGTGCGTGACGAAGCTATGCAAGCGTGCTTGCTTGCGGCGCAGAGCGAGGCATGAACAAATCACTTGCCCGTGCCTTTTGCCAAGCAGTGACTGCAACTGTGCGGGCTGCGCCTGTCGTCGACAATGCGCCCCTTAGGTTTAAAGTTGCACGCAGGCCGCCCGAAGCGACAATAGGTGTTGGTGCACGCAAGCGCGCAGAGCCACTCGCCGGTACGGGGGTTTTGATGGTACGGACGGTCCCCCGACCACTGCAGCTCGCTTTGCGGAATCTGCAGGCTGGGTTGCAGTGCTATAGACGGTGACGGTGCGGTGTCTTGTGCTTGCGTTGCTTGCTGCTGTGCCGGGTAATTGGTCCAGTCAGCGTTGCTGGAGAACTGGTCCCAGGACTTTCCCTTTCCTGCGCCTTGCTGCCAGCTGCCCCAGGATGGCTGCTGGCTGTGCTGTGCTTGCTGGGGCTGCTGCTGCGTGCTGGCCTGCTTGCCTTTTCCTTTGTTGACTTCTGGTGCTTGGCCCCAATGTGCCCAAGGGTCCTGCTGCGAGCTGGTGTCCTGATGTGTCGCGCCGGCGTCCCAGTCATAATATGCTTGGTTTTGCTTGTTGCGCTTGCTGCTCCTGCTCTGTGACATCATACCAGTTGCGGCTGCTTGAGCCGCCCTGCTGTCCCCAGCGCTGTGGCGCTTGCTGTGCTTGCTGGGCTGGAGCACCGCCGAATTGTGCTTGCGAAGAGATGGGGTCTGACATGGCTGGCTTGCTGCCGTCTGGCCATGGAACTTGCTGTGCTGAAGTGTTGCTTTGCTGTTGCGTGCTTTGCTGTGCTGGTTGCTGGCCTTGTTGTTGTGACGGCGGCGGTCCCCAACGGAGGATGCGTTGCAAACGCACGCGTACTGCCGGGCGACCCTGCAGGGCAGCGCAAATTTGAGAGTCAGTGTGCCCCCCGAGGATAATGAGAGCTGCATCCGCGCTCATGTCTTGATCCATGGGTCGAGGGCACAGCTTCGGGTTAGAGGACAGCGCACAGAAATAAGTGCAATGGTGCCTGCGACTGCCAGAGCTGAAGCTTATCTAAAGGACCTGCCTGACTGAAACTCTAAGTTGAATCATGCGAGGGAATTTGCTCAAACTGTGTTTGAGCCTGCATGCGGCATGTTTACAATTTCTGCTTGTGCGACAAGCATGGTCCCAGTCTGCGAGCAAAGGACAGAAGCTGAGCAGAGCACGGTGCGTTGGCACGCGGTCTGCTCGGTCAGTTGACCTGGCGGTCAGACCAGAAATGCGTCTGGTTGCAAATCTGACCATCTCTGGCAACAGTGCCTGCTTGCTTGCGGCGCAGGTCAGCCTAAGGGGGGACCCCGTACATGCGGAGCTGCTGGTTGTAAAAGCTCGAGAAGGCTGAGTCCGGGGCAGTGCGTGCCGAGAGCATTGTAGCTGTAAGAACCTGCGTCAAGCTGTGCGAGCTGAACTGTTTTGTCCTATCAAATGTGGACAGCCTGCTGTGCAGTGCGTGCACTCGAGCCTGACAAACAGGATGGAAACAAGAAAGGTGCAAGAAAAGCTGGGTCGACTACAACAAGCAACTTCAAAGGAGCCTGCCTGGTTACTGCTGGTTCAACAGGTGGGCGCCGGTCAGGTGCAATGCGTGCCCTATGCGACGTTGCAGCTGTACCTGGTTTGTGTTAAGCTGTGCGTGCCGATCCTGGAGGTCCTGCACGGTCCTGCCGAGCTCACGCATGTCAGCTGCAGTGTCTGTGATCCTGACGTGTGCGTTGAAGTTGCTGTTGTCTAGTTCGTCCACCTGCTCTCGATGCTGAGTCACACGCCGGTCAAGATGGGAGAGATGCCTTTGCATGTCCTCTACTCGATGTTGCAGGTCGCTAAGGCTAGCCTGCAAGCCCCTGTGCGAAGCTTGCATGGTAAACATGGATGCCTGCAGGTCATGCAAGGCAGAAAACAAATCTGCAATGGTGGGGCCATGCGTGTGGTTGCTGTAAGGTCCGGATCTAGCTGCTGTACCTGGACCTGAAGAGGAGTGGTGCAGTGCTTGGCTTTCTGCTAAAGGGACAACTGCTAGAGTCGGTGCAGTGCTTGCATGCAGCGAGCGCGGGGCTGGCTCCAAAGCTTCGTCCTGTGTAGCAGACACAAGGATGGGTTCTTGCCCTAGGAAAGCCAGCCCTGAGCCGTCGCCATCCATGGTAACAGAGGAGTGTATTTCTGACTGCGGAGAGAACAAAGGTGGAAAGTGAAGCTTGCTTGTTCTGCTCATGCACAATCATGTTTCAAAGAAACCTCATGCTGAGAACCGGGCAAGCTACGGAAAGTACATGCGTAGGAAGCAAGCGTATGACAAGCTACACCAAAACATGCATGAAAAATAAAACATGCTACGAAGCGACAGGGCAATTCGGATCTTAGTAGCCACTGACGGCGTTTTAACTGCTGCCACTGAAGGTCGTGGAGGATCGTCACAAACCTCCATATGGGGCGTGTAGAGGGCCATTACTCGCATAAAGTCTGCTAACCCACTGCTTTCGTGGCCACATCTGCTGAGGTGAGTAACCCTGGCAAGTGGACTGCTCTCCACTCATTATTTTCAAGCGCTTCTCTTACTATGGTTGCGCGAAGGCATCTATGCCTAGTACGCCAAGAACCTGACTCCAACTGACACAACTGGAGAGTGGCAGTGTTGTCGGTACACAACCCCTTTCGAAGGACTCCTTTTACTTCTTTAAACTTGTAGAAAGCGGCAATTCGAGGTTCCATAGCTCTAGCCAGCATGAACGCCTCGGTAAGAGATATTAACTCTGCCTCAGCCGTACTAGCTGCCGCGAATGGCTGACGTCCGCCACACCAGGACACTAAACTACCAGCCCAAAAGATTTGAGCTGCTCCTATACTCCTACCGCAATAGGAGCCAAGGACGCGTCACTTACTGACTCTAACATAGAGTTGTCACGCATCCACGTGGGAGCCTCCCACTTACCCAAGTTGTTGGGAGCTATATCATACTTCAGGCCCACTTTAGAGGACCAACGAAGATGTCTAATAACTACTTCGGCTCTTCTACAAGCCACCAAAGGATTGGTAGTTAGCAACTGACTTATGACCATGGTGGCATACTGCAAGTCTGGTCTGGTGCGGCCTACTAACCACTGCAGTTCACCGGCTGCTGTTTTGGGCAGCTTCAAATGCTCCTTTATTTCATCAGATTCCTCAGGAGCTTCTGGTCATGGGACCTTGAGAACTGGCATTTTAGAGGTACCCTCAATACGCTGATATCGACTCAGCATTTCAGCTACGAAATTTTCCTGACGCAGGATAATTGAGGTACCCTCTTGCCTTTTCTCGAACCCATTGAAGGCTAGACCTTCCTGGTCTAACCACCGTGGCTTTGCGGTTTTCCACTGTTAGTGTGTTGGCAGTAGGCTCAGCA